GATAATGGAGAAGAGGAGGCTCCAAGCCAGGGAGCCATTTTGAGTGAGCCCTTTCTGAGTGTTGCTGTTGTCCAGCCCTGTGCAGGGGGCTGTGGGCAGGGAGGGGAGAGAGTTCTGGGCTAGATGGCCCCACCCATGAGCCTCCAGCCAGCTCTCCCCCAGCATGCTGGGCTGGCCCAGCCTCTCTGTGCCGGCCAGAGGGCGTAGGAAGGAAGTCCTAGCACCAGTACCTGCTCCGGGAATTGTGAGGCTGTGGTTATTGCCCCTGCTAACCCCTAATCTGGCATAGGACCAGCTGGCTCTGCCCACTCCTGGGCTGAGAAAGAAGTCATGGGCTTGGCCTGGCACTTTCTCTGTCTCTAGGCATCAGCCTGCCAGGGATGTGGAGGGGGATGTGTGTGTGTGTGCGTGTATGCTTGTGCATGTGTGTTTGTAAGTGTGTGCCCAGACTTCAACCCGTTTGTCCCCCTTGAGATGCACTTCTTGTCATGGCTTGAGGACAGGTGCTAGAAAGATTCTCATCCTGGTTCTAGGCGCCATAGGCCTCAGTTTCCCCAGGATTTGGATAGAGAGATTGCCATGTTTCCTGCTGCCATCCTCTGAGGAGGCTGGTGCCCCTGGGTCTGTTCCATCTCGCCCTGTCAGGCCTGGTTTGATCCTGCCCTGGGCTGGCCTGCCACCCTCACTGTTTCGTTCCCAGGAAGAGAGGGATCCCCCTCCCAGCGAACACAGCAGAGGAGCTGCAGAACATCATTGGCGTGGATGAGCCACTTACCCTCCCGGAATTCCTGGCCAAGTTCGACTACTACATGCCCGCTATTGCGTGAGTTGCCTCCAACCCTCAGGTCCTGGGACAGTGTCCATCCCTGTGACCAGGACCAGGCCTGTGCCTCAGCCTGTGGGGGCCAGAGAAGGCGCTCTGAACCCCCAGCTCTGTTTCTCACCATTGTGCACACTTGAGCAACTCTCTCCAATGCCTTTAGGCCTCAGTTTGCCCTTCTGAAAAGTGGGTGTGATGTACTGAAATTCCTTCAACTTCTACAGAGAAGTGGCAGAATATAGGAGTTAAGATCCTACTATCAGATTTTCATGAAATAACTGTGACAATGGGTGATGTCACCCTCTCTGGGCCTCAGTGTGCTCATCTGTACTGAAGGGCTTGTGATCTATCTACCTCATAGGGCTGGTGTTTGGAACAGAGAGAGCACTGTCCTCAGCAGCCCTCTCTTGCTTTGAAGATGACTGCTAACTTTATTGACAGCCAGGCACTAGGGCTTTTATATTATCTTTCATTGCTTCCATTTTTTAATAGCAGACTATGTCTTAGACATAGAAGAATGTATGTACAGCTTACAGAATTATACTTACCTTTTGTAGTTGTCGACAGTCCTGCAAAGTAGATACAATCCTCATTTGCAGATGAGGAAATGGAAGCTCAGGAAAGTGAAGGAGCTTGCCTAGCACCACGCAGCTGGCAAGGGTGACACCCAGATTCTCACCCTGATGCCACCACAAGCTTGCTGGCATGAGGCAGAGTTCCCCAAGGCAGGCAAGCATTGGGCCTTGGCAGTCAGTGCTGTGGGATCTCAGGAGGGGGAAGAGGCAGAAGGCCTGGGGGCAGTCAGGGCAGGCTGCCTGGAGGAGGAAGGGTGGCCCAGGCCTTGAAGGATGGAGAGGGTATGATGTCTGGAGGGCTAAACC